TACCATTTCTGCGGTATATTAACTCCGCGGTAATTTTCCGAAATATTAAAAATTAAGAAAGACCGTTGAATCTAACGGACAATTGAGACGTCGTATGACGTCTACACGATCTTGATGCTTCCATATAATATTAGTGTGAATCTTACAATTTTCGGTTCGTAACACGTGGCCGCCCATCGCGTGCTTCTCCGCAGCTCCGAACCGAGTAATAGTAGTATGTTATATCACGATTAAATTGCCGAAGGCAATCTAATGAATTAATGCACGTAGCATCTATTTTAAATCCTATAAAAATAACTTATTGCGATGGGCGGTCACGTGGTGTTGTGAACCGAAAATTGTAAGATTTACACTAATTAATATTATATGGCAGCATCGAGATTCGCTTTGTATCGTACAGACGTCATACAATCTCAATTATTTCCGAAATATCTTCTGATGGCAAATATTCATGTATCACGAAGGAATGAACTGTACAAGAAGGAATGAGAATCACAGGGGGGGTGGGTGGGGAGGGAAAACGAGCGAATTCAGCGCGTTGCGGATTCGGCATATCATATTTACGACGCGAACACGACGTAATCCGGAGCATTGTATAATGCGCAGCAAATCGGAAAGGAGAAAAAGATTCGATGGCAGATAGCATTGCGAATAAAATCCGAGCTGACGTAACGCAGGTGCATTACGTACAACGTAACGTATCTCATTTCATAGTGACTTGTGTGTATATATGTATAGCTGCGTTTCATGCATACTTTTTATAAATCTTTCCCTCCTGAGATCTCACGAGTACTCTCGGATGTTTAATTCTCCTGTCTTCGTGTCCCTTTTCGACAATCACATTGTCGCGTGTAAGAAGAGCGGTGTAGAATATTGTTTAGAACATTATGCCAATTGATTGTCACTTATGGAATGAAAATATCATGATTAGCAATGGAATTAAAAAAAAATATCACGGTTGACAATAAAATTCAAAAAAATTCAAAGTCTCGTAATATCTGTAGGATAAAATTATATGAAGTTTATATGTATTTATATAAAATGAAATTATATAAAATTATATATGTATTTTCGTAAACGGTATTTTCAGTACAATACTAACGCCGATTAAATTGGTTTTGTAGCATGAAAATCTAATATATTTAAAAAATAAATTAATAAATACAAATTCTCTGTTACTCTTTTATACAATTTATGAATTTCCACATTGCAGAATTTTGCTATTTCCATTTAATCCACCTAGATTAGTAATAATTATTATAAATTATCGAGAATTTGCATGCATTTCTATTTGTGCCCAACTAACTGTAAATTAACCTATATGCAAGAGAGAAACTTTATCTGTTTATTCACATGCCGACATTTATTCAAATCCAATGTAGAATGAATTTTCCATATCTGGGGCTATAATTATATTGCGTTATTGTAAGACATTACTTTTGATATTTACTCAATCTTTTTTCGCAAGTACGACTTTCTATAGTAGTCTATGAACATGTAGAACATGATGACAATTTGAACCATGTAAAAGTATGCTAATGGTTTCCGCGTAGGTTCGCAAGACGGTAGAAGCGCTTGGAACGTATGGACCGACATAATAACAAGTTGGATCTGAAACAAAGAACATTATGTTGAGTTTTAACGGAACAAAAACAAAAAGACACATGTTTTTATAACGAATCTCACGCGGATCTTTTGACAGGTGAAAGTTTGCAAATGTGAAGCACTCATAAATTCATTTGAATTAATGAAGTTTGAAAGTACCGAGACGTTTCAATAGGGAATTATTTCGAAGAAGGTATAATAAATAAGTATTCGCGATGCGAGCTACGTAAAATTAGTAAGGACACAGAATTCATATATAGTGCACGCTTGACAGGCACCGATGCAAAAAAAAGCATACGCCATTTTGCCCTTCCTCGTCCAACCTCTGACCGGAATTCTAGAGCGCAAAAGCTCCGCGCGAAATTAAACAACCACGTAACCCGATAAATCGTTCCGTCGATATCGCTGGAAATAAAAATTCTCTGGTAACGGATTATTTAATTAAAAACGGTACTGCGAGCCTTCGTCCACCCTACGTCTCCCTGCCCCTCGCTGTTACGCTCAAATGCAAACCGAATTGAGATTCGACGAGAACACATGTGATTCTGCAAGCAGCGCTTACGGAGCTTTTCAATCCCTCGTGAAAAGCCAGTTATCGAGTTATAGGAGCGCTGTAACCACAATGAAGTCCGCGTATATATGAACATATCGCGTGAAACGCGCTATATTCCGTATGCCCGCATGAATCCTGGTAGGTATATGAGTAGTATAGGAACGCTACGCTTCTCAAAACTATCAGATCGAATGTGGAAACCTTATTATCTTGAAACTGCGATGGCTAAAAATTTGTTGGAACATTGTACGACACGATATCTTATAACGATTGTAAATTGATGTAAAGCAATTATACATACCAGTTGCAAACGAGTTATATATTTTTTCCAAGGACTAATTATTTTCTGCATTTTAGATCCCAAACAAGCACAAAGATAATACATATACATAATTACGTGCACTGCGCAATTAGGTAATATTACGAAGGTCCACATGCCACCTGCAGATTAGATAAAACGTCATTAGATAAAATGTCATTGTAGATAAATGGTCATGGAAAAAAGTTATTATAGGTAGGAATGTTAGAATTTCGTAAAGAAATTAGTCATGTATTAATTTTTAATAAAATAGTTTTTTCATAAACAAAGTTTAAATTCATTGCACTTATTCTGCTATATTAAAAATTAGAAGGAATTTAAATTGGTAGGAATTTCATTGTATCTATGATTTGAAGGAAAGTAAAAGTTTTGTCATTCTGATGATGAATTTTGAAAAAATATATCAATTTTTTGTTTAAAAGCAAGGTCTTCTCAAATAATAAATATCTGCAGGATTGTTAAACCTTAATCTAGCTCTGAATTAAAATTAATCACTCCTAATTGTAAAACAATATAATAATGTATTGAACAAGATAAAAACATATTAACAGGAAGTAAAATGTTATTTCATCATCATTATAAATCGCGATATCAGAATATCGATGAAGTGTATCACTTATTTGAAATTGTTGGAGGGGGGGGGGGGATTACTCCAATAAATATGGATAAAAATTGAAAATTAAGTAAAAATAAGAATAAGAGTGAAATTAGATTATACAGTCAGAATTAAATCAATATGTACATATTTTAATATCTGATGTCTTCTTTGGTCAAAATTTCATTTCCATAAATTATTAAATTTTCTTCTAAGATTATTACAATTATTGTAATATTATATTATAATATTATTGTTATGTCTAGTACATACCAGGTGCATATTTACAGGAAAGCCACGCCGAAAAGGCAGTTATTGCGTGATGATATACATGAAGGAATGATATTTGATTATACTTTTTCCTTAGAACAAAGATAACAGTATCTACAAGCTCGATTAATTTCATAATAAAAAGCCACCATACCCACCGAGCCATCTATAAATAATAAAACTTCATATATCTCGGGTGTTTCTATATTATAGAAAAGACTCGTGTGTATTGATTAATTCTATTTACATTAAAGCATAGAATCTCTAGTCCAAATAGTTTATCATAGTTAAAATGAGCAATAATACAAAATTTAATTTTATAATAAGATCAAATCATAATTACTTACGCTAAGCGACATAGGATCATCTGAAATAACAAAAGGTTCACACCCCGTAGAAAGATGCGTTGTATAGCCAGATGTGAGTACCTAACAGATAGATAATAGATTACAATTTAAGAATAGTTCAAAAATACACGAAAAAAAAACGATTTTGCTGAAAGGTCTAAAAATTTTGCTGGATACAAAGTTGAAAATAATTTTGTTGGACCATCAAAATAATTTTACTTGAAATTAAAAAATGATGATCATTTCTGTAAAATGTGATAGTCAGAACTATATCCAACAAAATTTTTAGATCTTCCAGCAAAATTGTTCTTTCCGTGCATTAATAGAGAAATACATATAAATAGAGAAAATGAAACATTTATAACAAACTCGCGCGTTATCTAAATTATTAGTTTATTTAATATATATACTTACGCCATAGAATATAACGGCGCTTCCAATTGAAACAGAAATATTATAACATATCATAGTCTTGATGAGCGCGTGAGGTTTTCTGTCGTTCATGTAAAGCGGTCCAAAATAAAGCACAAAAGATAAATAAGCGAGTAAAATCAATGTTATGCCAAATGGATTTGACATCAAGGGCCAATCAGAAACTCTAGGATCTGTAAATTGAAGGAAAAAATTTTAATATTGAACTATAAAATTCACGTAATAATATATGTATTTAAGTTTGCAAGAAAGATTGTACACAGAGAGAATTTCCTTTTAAAATTTACCCTGAAAATCATGTTAATCGCAGGACAACATAGTATTTCGACAAAGTTTATGTGATTTTCTCTATTTTTTTACTGTGCACTACAATTTGTTGTAGTACATATTTAAAAAAAATAGTAAAAATCACATAAAATTTGTCGAAATACTATGTTGTCCTGCGATTAATATGATTTTCAGGGTAAATTTTAAAAGGAAATTCTCTCCGTGTACAATCTTCCTGCGATTAACATGATTTCAGGGTAAATTTTAAAATAAAATTCTCTCCGTGTAGCGACGCAATACGTAAAAAAGTATAAAAACTTATGGAACTGCTAAAGGAAAGGATTAAAGATTATATCATTTAACGAAGACTTTTTTTCGATATACTCAAATAATAATTATTTTTTTATGTAATTACATTATTATGCTATCAATTAGTATTTCTTTATTTTCATATACTCATTATGTAGCTTATATGTAATTTTTGTTATAAAAATATAGTATTCATCTATTTTTTCAATTGTTTAACTTACCTGAAATTTCAGTATTAAAGTAATGATAAATATCCATAATTCCCATATTCTGGAGAACAAAGTGATGAATGAAGTAATGAAAAGGAAGGCAAAGCGATATTCACATAAGCAATAAACAAATCTAAAAAATTTAGATAAAAATTCAATAATTAGGGAACATGTAGAAATAACTCTTGTGAAAAAATGCTATTAGATTAATGAAAAAGCTATTGGAACATTAGTATATATATATGTATATATAATATTGGATTTTAATCGTTTTCTAATAATTTCCAATAGATTTTTCGTAAGTCCAATAACATTTTTATACGGGAATACAGAAATACAAAAAATATGTTATATTAAAGGCATGACGTTACAGACTGATTGCATGTGATTACATATGTTTGCGTTCGGGTGCTAGCACTATCGTATTATTTTCACCTTATTTTACATCGCATTAATTATAAAAAATAGAATAACATAATAGTGCTGATAAAGCGCTGCTTGATTGCCATAGAACCCATAAAATAAAGTTATAAGCGAAATTGTCGTAGTCATCGAACTTTTGTCACGTAGTTGATCGCTGACTAAACTGTAGTGCCAGGTCAGCACTTTTACCGAAATATCTATGTAGGATAGATTTGATTTTGAATTAAATGGAGAGATATTTCAAATAAAGAGAGATATGACAATTTATTAGCAAGCACTGGTTTAGAGAATGAAAAATGATTTTTTGCGCTTGTTAATTTCAGTACAGATTTAATCCGATCGTCCATGTAAAAGCCAGCGTCTATATAATCCTCTAAAAACTAATTGCTCTTAATATTTTGACATAAAGCTCTTGATTATTTTATTTAACATCGCGACAGTATATAGCAACAATTTTACTTCGTATGATCGATATTTCTAGATGCACGTGCGCGTATCTCTATAAATGCGCGCGCCGGTGTGTGTTTGTATGTGAGTGTCTTTAAAATGTAACTTGATAATATGAAAGATTTACATATAAACAATAGTGAGTTATATTAGACCGCGTAAGTGAATATTATAAATAAATTTTTTTATAATAAACTATATTTTTTATATAATAAACTATATATTATAATAAAGAGAGATAGAGAGAAAGAGGTGATAAATATTAATATTCTATATTATTAAGTAATATCTTAAAGGCACTTTCATGTATTAAAGCATTATAATATGTATAATAATATATTATAAATGTCTTTTGCTTGTATTAAAGTCTAATAGGTAATATAGAGTAGATATGTGTAATGAAGAGAGCGCAAAAAATCATCCTTCCGAAAACTCCTTCAAATTTTATTAATAACATAAATTAATAAGACGATGGTATAAATTAACTTATTAAAAATTAAGCATTAAAATATACAATTAAGATACACACCTTTGAAGAAAGATTTGGTAAACACTTCTTACATTGTGACTTTACTTTATACATGTCTATCGACATTTAAATACACTTATATGAGCAATATTGGTGCTAACAATCCCTCGTGTCGGTAACCTACTGCGCTTTACGTTCATCTGCAGGCCAAGAACCCCTAACGGTATTGCAGCTTAGAACGCAGGGTTGTAATTGATGAACAAAACGCCCCGTGAAGAATTCAGTGTTAAATCCCGTCAAAATACGAGTCAAGTAAGAAAGATATAATAGAATTAATAAAAATCATATATTTTTCTATTATATAACATTATAAAAATATGTTTAATGTCAATTTTAAATTTATGCCTATCAATACATTAATACTTTTTTCAGTTAATATTTTTATTTTACATAGGAATATCTTTTTGTCGGAATTACTTGAAAATCAGAAAGAAGTACAATTTTGTATTTTTAATTTTTATATCTTTAGTATTTTATTATACAATAAATAATTCACCTTATTAATAACATCTATATTATATATATATTAAATGACCACACTAGTAAATTCTGAGACGGTTTAAAATATATCAAATTGATCGAGAATATTATCGAAAAAAATATTCCACGTGCAAGAATTGTTTTCAGTGGATGCAAGTGTACAGCCATGGCGGCAAATTATATTCCCCAGTATAGATGTACGGCTTCTTAGTTATTTAAATGTGGATTAGCCGACTTCGTAGTTGTCTTGATATTACGATCCGAGTTGAGAAGATAGTCACGAATTGACCTCCTCTTAGTATTAGAAATTTACTGCTCGACCTCCCTTAATCAGATCATCCAACTACTACGTTTCGCATAATTGAACCGGACAAATTGATTTCCGTGTCCGGAATTCATTATTTCTTCTTCCTTTCCTCTCTATATAGAAATCGAAATGCAAGTATAAACTTTTGCATTTTCACAAAGAATTTATAGATGAGATAAGGGTAGTATCATGATTAAATTCATACAGAAGTATACATGTAGAAAATATGTATATATTGTAATATAGGTATTATGATAATGTTTTATCAATGTTAAGGAAACATGAAATATCTAGAAAATAATACTATTTGACACGAATTTGCATCAAGAGTGTGAATAGTTATTTCTGACGTATTTTTGTTTTCTGAAAACGAATCCATTGGCAAAAGTTGGCTATTACGTCACAATTTTGAGAAAAATGGCATCAAAGAGCTGAAAACGACGATAGTTTGAGAGTTTTCAAGATGTCGCAATACCTGCAGCAGCTAATTTTTTTACTTAATTTTAATGCCACATAAAAGCATCGATTTTTAGCTTTAAAACACATTTTAGTTCATTACGATATGATTTCTTGTTTCCGAGATGTAACAATTTGAATATATATATAGCTATATATCATATATAGTTGTTTTCTTTATGTAACATTATTCGACAAAATTTGATATTTTTCTTTTATCACGAGTATGAATAGTCATTTCCGACGTCATTTCTTGCCTGCTGAGCACAAATCCGTTAGCAAAAGTTAGCTATCACATCACAATGTTCAGAACAATATGAAATCGTCGTTTTTTTGGCCTTTGACGCATTTTTTTCAAAATTATGATGTAATAGCCAACTTTTGTCAACGGATTCGTGTTCAGCAAGCGAAAATACGTCAAAAATAACTATTCACATTCGTGATGAAAGAAAAATTAATTTTTATAAGATAGTATTACATGAGAAAAAGTACTATATATGTATTCAAATTGCTATATCTTAGAAACAAGAAATCATATCGTAATGAATCAAAATGCATTTTAAAGCTAAAAATTAATGCCTTTATATGGTATCAACAAAATTAAGCAAAAAATTAGCTGCTGTAACGTCTTGAAAACCCTCAAAATCATCGTTTTTTGTCTTTTTTTTCTCGTCATTTTTCTCAAAATTGTGACGCGCATGATAGCCAACTTTTATCAACGAATTCGTGTTCAGTAGGCAAAAATACGTTGGAAATAACTATTCGCGCTCGTGAATAAAAAAAAAGATCAAATTTTGTCACTCACTGTCAGTGTAATTGTTAAACGATATAGCTAAAGAAAAATATTTGTAATGTACGAGAGTGGAATCAAAACTTGGAAATATTAAATGTCTATGAAAAGTTTACAATAAATTTGCCTAAACACTTTCTAAACTATTGAAATATATAGTTCATCTAAAAATATGTTGCTATTTTTTAAATTTTAATTTTAGTATTTTTTAAATTTATTACTAAAAAGTTATCTTTCTGATGTAATAATTTTGATAATTAATCATTAGACTATTATTCTTTTAATCTTCTTTTTTTCTTTTTACGTTATTTAAGTAAGAAAGATGGGAACAACTAAATTATTGTGTAAATTATATATGTATATAAAATTCAAAAAAATTTATAAATATTTTAATGTATTGTATGTGTAAAAAAATATAATTTAAAACTTTTTATCGATGCCATCTATCCATTTCAGGAGTAACATTATAAAGAGTTCATCAATATAGCATTTACTATCAGTCGTTATTAAAGAATAGTCTATTTATATAATTATGGCATAGAATTATTTGTGAACAAATAATTTGTAAAACGCAACTAATTTTTATAGAACATTATGTATTTATTGTATTGAATATATTACCCACTGACGATAGAAGCTTATTTACTGACAGAAGCTCATATAGAGTTTATACAGAAAATAATAAAATATTCAATTTTCCTTATTTATCTACAAAAATATAGATTATGAAAAAATTTATATTGTTGTACATTTCTTTAGTCTTATATCAATCATGATAATACAACTTTTGTGTTTATATAACAAATAGTATTGAATTATTGATTTTTAAATACAAAAACAAATTAGAAATTGTATCGGTAATGGCAGTTGGGATATTCATTGATATCTTAAATGTAAAAAAAAAATATATATATATATATTATAAAAAATTAGTTTTTAATAAATAGTTCTTATTATATTGAATATTTTACAAATACACAGTAACTGCGTTTAAAAATTTTTACTCAAAATATTATTAATAAAGAAACTCCGTATCTTGCCTCAAGACCTTAAAGAATTAATAATTAATGAACAGATTGTGTAAACATTCTTTATATCGAATAAAGGTCGATAATATATGCATAAGTATACTAGTAAACACTTGAAGTATATCATGAAAGCCTTCAACTTGTAGACAATATAGCGCTCAAAGTTTAAATGATAAAGTACAAGATGCACGTATGAAGAGAGAATAGGGGAAAATTGCTTGGGAAGGCCACTTTCTCATACATATTTGCATAAGTGGCTGCATCTAAAATTTGATGAAGGGTACAGGAGTACCTTTTAAAACGTATCATCTTATCTCGGTTAAGAATATATTAAAGATACATTAGACGAATTGCATAAAATATTAATCAATTATTAATAATTAATCAATGATTTTAATTATCCCTATTCTTAACATATTCAAGAATGATAAAATAAAATGTTTTTTCAATATTATTGTTTTTTAAAAAGGCAGAGTATAGAATTATTGAAAAAAGTATGATACGCAACTATTTTTCTATGAGTTTATTTACAAATTTACAAAAATAAGTTACTTAAACCTGTATCACCCATCTAATATGCATACACAGCACAGTAATGGCAATTCTCTTATCTGATAGAAAAAAATAGTTACATTCGAATATTCTTACATTAAGTCGTTTTTTGTCACAGCAGTTTTTCAAACATTTTCTCTCAATCCTTGCAAATCTCTAATAGTAATAAGGATTAACTTAATATGAGCATTGGTTCTTGCAATCGCTTTTCGTAAATTCGCTATTTGTCGCTCGAGCAACTTGATCCTTATATTTATAACGACCAATGCTTCGTCCAACGTGAATTCAATGTAGTGTCCCAAACCAATGTCCAACAAGATCTTAGAAGCGTCTGGAACGTGTGCTTGAATGAAGAAATTATTTCCGATATCGACTTTGGTTTTGAAACCGGTCTTCTCGACGTTTGTATCTTGAAATGTTGTTATCACTGATTTCAGTTGCAGAAATTCGGCGAGATCAACATTTTTGGCGTCAAGTTTTTCGGCTAATTTTGCAAGATCGGCTTTCAGTACGTCGTTTATGAAGGTCTCAAATTGTAAGACTTTTTGCTGAACTTGCGGATCCATAATTAATTAGGCCTTCAAACTGCAAAATACAAAAACGAGATTAGATAAAATAAAGAATGGTTCGTTTATAGACAGATTTAAATAATATGATGCTAGGAATGCGCAAACATTCGTGTTGTTTAACATGTATGGAATCGTGCAAGATGAGGAATGAAGAAAGTAATAAAGTATCAAAAAGGTAATATGTAATGTAATGAATGAAAGTATCAAAAAAATAATATGTAATATAATATATAACCGAAAGATCGAATGTCGACACATATCCGCAAAAGGAACAACAGGTTATGTCACATGTAACTTTGCATATGTCGTTTATACTTTGTTTTGTATGATGACGATAGTGTCACTTACATTATCGGATTTGGATTAATGTGTGCCAAAGTCTAAGAAAATTGAATTATAAATCCTTTCTAGTAAACACAACGACATTTTTACATTGTATTCTAATCTCCGTTGATCTGTAGTGCGTAGTATTATGCGACATTTTGATCTAGCGGAGCCGGCAATAAACAGTAAGTACAGTAAGGCCAAAGCAACAGCTGCTAAGGAAGATTCCGACCTATCTAGTTTCTCGACTTTTAAAATTAAAAAAAAAAGATATATTTATTTAAAAACTATTTAATTCTTGCTTTATGTTTTTTTTATTTTAAGTAAAAATATTATATCGATAATTTTACAAATAATATCGGCATACTATAAATGCATATACATATAAGTATACGTAGATCGAGATATATCAATATTAAATAAAATTTATTCTTAATTTAGTATGTATAATTAAGTACGTATTTATTTTATTTATTTTTAATTGAGCGATTCGATATAAATAGCGATTTTTTTTACGATACGTAAAAAGTATATATTGTAACTGTTTTGAATTTTTGATAAGATTAATTATTTATAACTACGTTTAGAGCAAATCATTTATTATTAATATATATGTTAGAATCTGCATCAGTTAGAATTTTGTATAAAAATATAACATATAGTTAAAAGATTTTTTTATATATGTCCATTTTGCCGAAGGTCATATTCAACAATTTTTTTTTCCTTTAACTTCGACATAGCAATACAGGCGATACGTCGTTGGTAGTCTTTTGCATATAATTTTGCAGGATGCTGCTCGATTATGCAGTACATGCACAGCATGTCCGTGCGTGGCACCTCTGGATTGGAAAGTATATAATTAGCTGGTATTTACCACAACCACACACATTGTTATGAGCAATATTTTGCATATATTACATATACATATATGTATATGTACATACATACATATATTTTTTTTTTGTTCACACACATACACACACACACACACATATGCACACATCTTAAAAATGTATTAAATATTATCAAATATAACTATATAATACTCAACGTTTAAGAATATGTATTTTAGCCGCACTAGATCCGCGTTGAGTATTAATATTATACTAACCATGAATGTGTGTGTGTAAATTTTATTTTTTATAATTATTTTTTTAATATATATGTATATATATGTGTGCTAATAAAAATTAATGATCAATTTTTAATACTAATCTCGACACGGTCTTCATAAAATTTCTTTCTGGTTTGAAGCAAAAAAAATAAATAAATAAAAAATATGCTAACATCACACGGTGTTCCCAAGCGGTCCAAGTAATAACCGTGCTCAACGTTGCTTATAACTTCAGTGATCAGACGAGAACTGGTGCATTTTTGCATTTGTGTACAGTTTATTTATGCAATATGTTACAATAGTAATTATATGCAATATTAAAAATAAACTATTAAAAAACATTTTTTAAATAACATTTATTGAGCAGGTTTTATAAGACTTTCGCCGCTATGTACTGTTTCATAATCATTAAATTTACATAAAACTACATGCTTTTATTGAGAAGAACACATTTTCTAACAAGGAAAATCTATACTCTGGCTATAAATTATAATCTTTCAGGAAAAAAGAGGCCCCAAACGAAAACAAAACTGAATTTGCTACAAGATGAGAATTGGTGCTTATCAACGTCAAGTGGACGTTGCCCGATTACTCGAGAATTATGCGAGAACGGTTTTCTTCAATCTTTGTAACTTTATCATCTTTGTAATTGACACAACATATAAATGCTATTTGCAAGTCGAACGGCAGTACACATCTAGAAACACGATTTGTATTACTACATAAAAAAAATGAAATTATGAAGATGATAAAGTTAGAAAGATTGAAGAAAACCGTTCTCAATGATTCGAGTAATGAGGCAACATCCACATCACGTTGATAAGCATCAGTTCTCGTCAGGGGCTGTTCCTCTTTTTTCTGAAATTTTTCAACAAATAGCCGGATTACAGCTTTCTTTCATTTATAAGAAAAGCATACATATTATTCGTAATGACATGGAGATTATATCATATATAAGATGCGAAATAGTACGTAGCGGCGAGAATCAAGGTACCGTACCGCTCAACTTGAAATATATACAAAAAATGTTATTTTTGTAGTTTATTTGTAACATCGCATACCAATATTACTGTAAACATGCCTCATAAATAAACATATACAAACACCAGTTCTCGTCCGATTACTGAAGTTGAACACGGCACGGTTAGTACTTGGATGAGTGACCGCTTGGAAACACCGTATGATGTTGCCCTCAATTTTTTATTTTTTATTTATTTTTTGCTTTAACAGTAAAATTATGCTAAAATATAATATGCTATTTTATATTTTATATATATGTATATAATATTATGATTAAAATAAAATTCTTTATTAAAAAAACATATATTTGAAATTATTAATTATAATATTGACACTATAATGTCAATATTATAATTAATATCTAATATGTTTTTTAAATTCTAAATTAAAAATTTAGTATTAATAAATGAGATTAAATGACTCAGTAAATACACAATGAGAGCGTTTAATTTTAATAAAATTCATGTATAATATATATGTATATAACTTAATATAAAGTTTAATTATTTCAAATAAAAAATAATTGCACGTAGTATGTTAAACGCTCGTTTGTTTTGTCGCATCTCGCATCCCTAAATAACTTATGGTTTACGATGACTGAGAGATTCTCTCTGATTCTATCAGATGCATTAATGGAACGCCGTGACAGTTTGTACCGCGTTTAGTTATATCGTCGGGTTGTTGCGGCAAGATTAAATTTCACCATGCTACTTACTGCCCGTAACGGATCTCCATCTGCCATCGCCACAATTCGTGTCACCGCTGATTCAAATGTAGTCTCTGTTTATAGCAGCGGTGAAGATCCGAGCTTAGACCGCAATTGCATGATTCTCAGGCTTTCGGTATTACCAAGAAGAATATAGAAACAACATTTGAGATATAAGGAACCTCTGATTAATAATGATAACACATATAATAGCACATAATAATACCATGATAGAACATGCATGTAACATCTTTCGGCATTACCAAGAAAAATATAGAAATAGCATTTGAGATATAAGGGACCTCTAATTAATAACAATAACACATAATTATAATAATAGCACATAATAATATCATGATAGAACATGTAACATCTGAAATTTTAAATCTTCTGGATATATCAGTAAGAAAACACCTGTCAAATTACAAAATTTAAATTTAAAATTTTTGTTTTATTTATTATTATATAATATTATATAATAAATTAATTCATGAAAGTTATCAAAATAACGAAATTTATAAAAAATAAAAGTGTTAAAATAGTGTTAATATCTAAAAAGAATAAATAAAACGGCACATATTTTAATTGACCGATAAAAGATTAAAAATACTTAAAAGGTATATAAATTTGCAATAAATCTAGATAAATATGCTAATTTTTTTAAGCTAACCAAATTAAAAATGATATAAGGATGAATTGTGTCGTTTGTATCGCTGCAATGTCAAAGATCATGTGTCCAACTATATGAAACGAAAGGTTAATATCTTTATTTTTTTAGATAAGAATACATTTTAATAAAAAAATGTCATATTAAATGCAGTCATTGGCATAATATATATTTTGTATTTTGCGCATACATTCTTATTTTTGCACAATCAGCAAAGCTTGCGTAAATCGTGAAAATTGGATAAATCAAATAAATGTAATTAATAATGCCTATCGTTAATAAAATTTAAAACGATAGGAACGTTAATTATTGTTAATCATTTAGCGTATGTAATTATTTTTTTATAAGAATTATATTATTTATATAAAGCAATGTATGAAATAATCAGTCAAATTACAATTTACAATTTACTCACGCATGCGCATTAAAGGTACCTCGTTTAAGGGCGAAATAGCATGAGTTACCAATTAAATCGCTATTATAGGTAGATGCAGGTTTCCTTAAAATTCGCGTGCCTTGTTAAGTTAAACGAAGAGCGACTAATTTCTGACCGAGAAACGAAAACGAGATTGGAAAAAAAGACGAACGCGATCTCCGTCGCCGTGTTCGACCGCGTGGAGTATCAGATTCCCTATCAGTCCAACAAAGTCTATAGGTTGCGATTTACGACGACTTTCGCACACCGGAAATTGACTTAACAATTACTGATTTACATTTACTAAAAAAAAAAGAAATTTAAGTACAATTTAACAAATTGCTCTGGGAATGTCTCGAAGTGCGAGATGCTCTACTGAATCGGAAGTATAATGATGTTACGAATTATCCAAGAGTAACCTCCATGGAATATAAAAATCTTTATCCGATTATTGCGTCAAAGGCCCACACGTGACAGGGCAATTTGCGAATCTACTGCGAGGCAATGAGCCCTACAGGTAGCGATGCATTCTTTTGCCGTATATCCGCAGCCTTCTTACCTCTCCCTTCTCACCCCGTCTTCTGTTTTATACCTTTTGCTCCGTTCAGGACGCACGTATGTACCTGAGAGTTCGACCGACGCTCTCCCGTATTCGTCTTATTAAAATCCTTGCGCCGCGCCTGACAAGTTGTCTTGCAGCAATGTCACTGGTTACTCACTCGGTAGAATAAGCAGCTTGCATAAAACGCCTCGAAATAAATCAGATAAGAATCGGCTTTCGGACTTGTGATGAGAATTAAAAAGTCGCTGTATCTTTATCTTTAGCTTATGTATCGGACCGTTGCCGTATTTTATATAGCGCAATTTGCATTTATTTTATTAAGACCCACGGATATATATATGGTAAGTGACGCACTTCAACGGTGCATAAAGTGATACAATAGATTTTTTAATGTTTTTTTATATACGTTTTTAATTTTCCTGTTTTTTGTAATCGTTCGCGAATTATTGAAAACTCTAAAAAACTTAGGTATTCTTAACAATGAATATCATACAAAAAAAATTGACTAGCGTTGCATTTATTCTATTGCTAATTATGTTTTATTAGTCCAATCTTTAAATTAATTTTGCAAAAGCAGTCAATTGAAAAATGTATTGTATAATAAACGTAATGTACACGGCTTCAAGTACGCTTAGTTATAAAGAAGTCCTGGAAATATGTAACAAAAGCGTATAA